ACAAAAAATAATTATTCCATGATCACATTAAAACATTACAGAAAACATTTGTTATTCCATTCTCCGTTCAGCACTCCTCATTTCACTCCTCATTCCACATCACACTCACACAGGCCGATTCCCCACGTTAGTATATTGGTCCAGAGTTTGTTAAGGTCAGCGTAGTGTACTTGACATGACGCACAAACATATAACATACACAAACATATAACACACACAAACATATAACACACACAAACATATAGACAACACAGAAGGCCTGTAATTTTAACTTTGTTATATTTTTCCATGTCCAATTACAATTGTCTCATGAGTTATTTTATTGTTGCAACTTTCAGAGCCTGCAGAACATGCAGAGCTTTAAGAGATTTTTCCTAAAAGGATCCATTTCAAACTTTAATGTTTAAGCCACGTGGTCTGTACTCGGGCTTGTCACAGACTGTGTCCCCTATATTTTTAATGAGCTCTTGTTACTTTAAGACTCGTGCACTTGCAATAAATGTTTTTCCCTTTTTTTTTTGTGTAAAGCCAGTTCGGATTCATTAAAAATGTAAATTAGTCTCAAACTTTAATACTTCACCTTTGTTTCACGTTCATGTGGAGAAAAGACCATTGTTCTATGTGTGTTGTCGTACTTGCACCAATCATGTCTCAGATAAACTGCCAACAGTTGTATCAAAGACATAATTGTCCTAATTGTTTCTAATTTAGCTATTTGGAAGAGAAACATGTCATAAAAGATTTCATAAAATGTCCCTACATCCTTGTTTTCAACCAATGAACAGTGTTGCGTCAATGTGTTATCAGAAATGATCCAATATCACCTTTAGCCAAAATTTAGAAATGCTTTAAATCATTTTTCAAACTTTAATTGTCTGAACAAACCATTTTGTACTAAATGTAGCGTCCATTAAAAGCTGCAGTTCTCTTTCTAGCACCAGTTTCAACTGTGCATGTGATTGTTTTTAAATGATTAACGAGCCACGGTTCAGAGGTTGAAAAAATTGCGTTAAATATCCGTATTACCAAGATCATGCAGTCAAAATCAATAATTCTAAACTTTTCCGCGTCTATAACTTTAAATAACAATAATAGTTTTAATAATAAAGCTCCTCTACCTTAAATATACTGCTGTTCTAATCTCCTTGTGTCTCATTCTAAAGTAAGAGGCTAATAATTTTGACGATTATCTTGTAATCATTCATGCAGTTAAATGTAGTGTTTTGAACGTATGACCTGAATGTGTAAATATGACTTAAATGTCCCATATGTCTCTGTGCGTTTGTTTGTCTGTATATATTTACCTTCTGTCTGTTTCATTTAGCCCGGCCACGTCCTCCTCTTATGGCGTCTTTCAATTGTCTTTGTCTCAAAGTGTCCAATGTCTTTGTCTCAATGCCTTTTTTTCTTCTTCTTTCAATCACTTTCTTTCTTCTTCTTCTTTCAATCAATCACTTTCTTTCTTCTTCTTCTTTCAATCAATCTTTCTTTTTTCTTCCGATAACTTTTTCTCATATGTCTTATGTCTTTTTCTTTTCAATCACTTTCTTCTTCTTTCAATCTTTTTCTTCTCCTTGCAATGTCTTTTTCTTTGTCTCATTTTTGCCGCACACCAATGTGTCGTGTCTTTCGCTTGGTTTACACAACGTTCCTCTCCGTGCACATAACTCCACTCGGTTTGTGCAAAAGTCTGGTTCTTCTCCATGAAATGGAGGCCGGAGAAGTCTTCTTCGAGAGTTCCTGTTAGCTGCTGCAGCCGATGCTGCCCCCTGCGACCCGCCGGGAGAGGGGGAGACGCTGATGGTCTGTGTTGATGGCGCTCGATTGAGGTCTTGTGGCAGGCGTTTTTGGCCAAATGAAACAGACAGAAGTTTTCTCAGGAAAAAACAGACAAACAAGAAACACAAACAAGTGTGTTAATTACCATACAAAACCAATGATTAATTACATATCAAAATAGACCTATGAAATAATTAATATTAACATTTTAAACATTAAATTCTGAAAACCAAATCTGCATTCAACTGCTATCCTAAGCCCTATTTTTCCGAAAGTATAATGCTCTTTAAGATCATTCTAACTCTTATATCACCTAAATGTAGGGAAAAAACTTGTCCAGGCGCCTTGGAGATAAAAATAAAATAATGCCTCTTTATAATCTAACTCAAAGTTCTGTGATCCTATGACTCCATGTCAGTAACATTATTGTGTGTATAAATGTAATTTTCTACAAAAAATATATTTGGTAATAGTTCTTTCTTCACGAGAGAGAGAAAGACAGAAAGAGAAAGGGGAGGGGCTGAGTGCTGTATTCTTCAAGCATTTCCCTCGTTTTTTCTCGTGACAAGGATTTAATCAGTGGTAAAAGTTTTTCTCACGTCAAACGACACTCTACATTTTATCCTTAAATACGTCAGTAATGGAAAACATTACAATTTGCTTACATGACCAATGCATCACTAGGTACAGCCGGATCTTTTTTTTTTTTTTAATACCTCTGTAACTATTGAAACATTACATCAGAATAAGAGAAAAACTTCCATAACTGATCATTCTGGTCATTTCTTCACATGGAAACTCGTATACTACAGCCAAGTGGCTCTCTTTTTTTCCTCATTAATCAGATCATTATTATTCTATATATAGAATCCATCAGTTTAAATACTTGGCTTTTTCCTGTTTAAATTAATTGTACCCTTTTTCCCGCCCCCCGGGGGATATAGAAGGTTTTATTATCCTATCACTTCTGACCCTAAAGCTGTCCCTATTTTCTAATTCTTATTCCTATTTTCACTATACTTGTGCCTCTCTGCACTTTTAAGGAGGTGTGCCTCTTTTGCACTTCTAAACCCTGTGGCTCTTATCATCATCTATGTTCTGTTTTAATGTTCTGTTTTATTTAAGGAGGGACCCATTCTTCCCCCAAGGTTAAAAACGTCTAAGCCTGACTATTGTTCTATCGCGTCCGATAGAACGCCCGTCACGGCGGTCGTCTGGCCACGCTGCAGTCCGTCGAGCCGAATTCTCTCTCTCTCTTCCATTTAAAACAATGTGCAGATTTTCAAAAGTAACGATCCGCTTACCTCTTTCGAAGAGAAGAGAGAATTCTCCCGGCCCACGGACCCAGTCTATATTTGAGCTCATCTCTGTCCTGCTCCTGCACCATCACGTCAGGGTCACCATTTGTTGTCAAAAATTCCCTTTGACGGACGTGTTCGAAGATGATGCAGAAGTAAGGCAAAAGATCTCCAAGTTTTACATCTGTATTTAATTTATCTTTACAATCAGATACAGAAATTCCAACAAAGAGAGCTCCTAAAACTATGCATGTCCCTCTCTGGTCCCTCTCCCTCGGCTGATTCTTCTGTTTCTGCCCAAGCCAGAGCATTATCAGTAGATGTCCAGGAAGCAGGGGGCGTGTCGTATCAGGCAGGTCTTGGGTCCAGGGTCCGGCCTCTTCCATCTGGTCTCCAGTCCGCACCTAAAAAGAATCATTCACGCACTACCCCTCCCTAATTTCTATAGAAATATTACTTCCTTGAGATAAGGCCGGAGACTCTCTGGGTCCCCCTCCTTCTTCAAACAACTAGAAGGATTAGCAGAATCCCCCCAGATTACCTATCATTAACTCACCCATGCACTTTGGACTAACAAAGGAGACCAGGTCTTTTTGCTTTAGGAAAAAGACAGTTCAAATCAGGGTCAGCCAATATTCACATCTGCATAGTGTATTTTTAAAATATACAACAGTACCTTTTTGTTTCCAACCTAATAGCACAAAGCTGGGGTAACTATCTGTTTTGTTGGCAAATGGCAATGTTCAATCAATACATATTTATATAGTGCCATTCATACTACATACGCGATAGTGCCATTCATACAACAAACGCGCTAACTAATACATGCATACTGTTAAAAAAATAAATAATTGGATAATAAAATACATGTTTAAGTTATTTACTTTACCCAGAATGTTTTCTTTTTATATCTGGGTTGAAATCTTGCCCAATCACTAATCAGAAATGAACACAATGTTTTGCCTGAAATGTGCTTATGTTTATATAATTTTGAATCTAAATATATTAATTTCTATCTGCACAGGAAGTTATTGAATCAATGGATCTGCAACAGTGCCACAATCTTCTGAAGAGGTGTTTAGTTTGCAAGCCGGGCATGTTGTTTGATATATTGGGTGAAAGGGACCATGGACCTCCAGAGGAACAGAATATAAATATTCCTGACTGGTGCATTTGTGGACAATGCAGAGAGATGCCCACAGATGTTGAGAGGAAATGCTGTGGACAGGAACCTTGATACTGCATCTCTCTCCTTCCAGACATGGAATTGTACATTCTGGATGAAGGAGTTCTGCGACTAGCTCGCAGATATAGGAATGACATAATGGCTCGGGAAGACAGTCAAGACCCTGGAGAGGACAAAAAACAATATAGGCATGCTGCCTATCGCCAGTTTATATTTTGGCAACACGGAGCGTTGGGGGAAGGTAATCGGAAAGTGATTCCAGCCTGCTGTGTTTTAAGCGTGAGGTCGCGTTTTCCAGACCCCCATAATCATTACACTGGATTCATCCCCCGAAGACTGTAAATATAGGATGCATCACACGCATGTTTTTTATTTGTTCAATAAAACCTTTTATATTTAAAAAAAAAAGTGTCATTACTCTTTACTCTAAAGTGAATTAGCAAAAATTACCTGTAATATGAATTGAAACATGTTGATAATTATTGTGATGACCAAGTATAAATCAATCAGACTCTTTAATTGGTATTGAAGTGGAACAGAAGACGACTTTTGCCCAGGGTGTAAAAACACATGAAAATGAATGGATAAATCAAATGGATTGAAATAAGAAGGCATGCAGAAAGTAATGTCGGGGAGTAAGTGCAATTGTTCATGAGTCCAACAGCAGATGGGAAAAAGCTGTTCTTATGGTGGGTTCCTGTCCTGATGGACTGTAGCCTCCTGCCTGAGGTGTGACTTTATTTTTGGTGTACATCTCCTAAAATAAAACAAAACGTCCTGTTAAAATACGTTTCAGTTGCAGTTTTCACAGTGCAATAAAACGTACCAAGGCCACGGCTAACATGGGCTTGAAGAAGCTCCTCTGTAGTTGGACGTGGAGCAGAAGGAACAAGTCCTAATCTGCGTGGGTCATTGTCTCTCAGTGTTCTCTTTGGAATCCCCTTTCCTGTGGATATTCGGCATTGAAGAACTTTGTTCTGAAGATCTTTTATGTAGCTGTAATCCTTCAAAACTTTATCAGCGTACAGGCTCCACTGCCGTGACCGCTTGTTGTACAACGTTTTGTACCTAATAAAGGGGGGTTTACAATCAAATTTCACATCCTTACTAACACAAAGAAAAAATTAACTTACTGGATCTTCCCCTGTGCATTTCTTTTTATTGGTCGATGCACATGGTGGTTGTAATCCAATCCAGCCAACAAGGTTCGAGCTTTATAGGCGGGTGGTTTGAAACTGAATCTTTTGCCCGCATACATCAGGAGATGGTTGTGAAATGACTCCAACTCTGCAGTGGACCTGATAGAGCAAAATAAAAATAACTAAAATGAAATATTCTACACTTTTTACATGTAGGGTTATTTATTATAAGCTATACTGATTTGGACATTTCCATTGAAGATAATTGAATGGTTAGAGTAGTTACATCAGAAAATACACATTTGGAGTATCCATCCATCCATCCATTTTCTGCCCTTTAATCCATTTCTGGGTCAGGGGGGTGGCAGTCAGAGATGCCACCCAAGTCTCATAGCACCAGCCCCTCACTGACCCTCTGCAGGTGGTGAGTCCACAGGAGGACAGCTGCTCACTGAGTGTGAGCATAGCCTTGATCTTTCAGTGGGGGCTTTTGGGCAAAGTGGGGTTAAGTGTCTTGCCCAAGGACACAACGACAGCAGTCATCAGTGGGAGTCGGTGGAGAAGGTGCAGAGGTGGGAATTTGGAGTAGTCTTAAAAAATAAAATATTCACAGTAAAGGGAGAGTTTGTATGCCATACTAATTACTTTAAATCATGTTAATGATATCAAATTATAATTATTAAATATACATAATTTATTGTCAACTTCAATGCAGTCCCTAGGGATGTTACGGTGGGAAGCGAAACACTTTGAACATACACGTACCTAAAGGTCAAGAACTTCTCCACATCTTTCAACCACCGCACATTGAGCACTATCTCAGTGAGGGCCTCATGTGCCACTGAGCCCTCTTCAATCAATGTCTTGTCTTTGCCCTCATCTACAAGTGGGTCATGGCTGCAAGCACCAAGTACCCAATCATGAACTCCTGAGACATGGTGCAAGACACCGATCCACATGTTCTGAAGAGAAGAAGTTGATTATATCATAAGAAGTATATTTTCAGAAATACATTTCACCTCATAACACTCTCACTTACAAAGAAACCCTTATACGTGTCTGTAGTCTTCGCACAATACCAAAAGTGATTGCAGATTTCCTTAGCCCACGAAAACAGTATTGCACAGCCTTTGCTTTGTGCTGCCTAAGGATAGAATATGCTACAATAGAATTATTTCAAATCAATGAACACACTTAGCAGTAAGCATGCAAGCAATTACCTTGTGAATCTTCTTTCCCAGATTGTTTGCACCATGCCACATGTCCAACGTATGCCGTACTTCAGTGTCTTTGTATTTGCCATTTCCTGCATTAAAACAACATCTCCATTCCTACACATTTCACAACAGTTTAAAAATACCAAAAAACAATAATTACTGAATAGTGCTGATATCTGGTTATGTGCATCTGTACAAACTTCATCAAGATTGGGCAATTCTTGTAAAAGCGGGTCAAATGAGCGAATGAATCCTTCTTTCTCCATAATAACACTGTTGCGGGCAGTCTCCCTTTTGTCCACATTCACCATGTTTATTATTTCCTTCGTCTCATTGTCCATGACCGTATAGGTACAATACTGGGCACAAAAACCAGGACTATCCATCCGTCCGTCTCCTATAACAAACAAAAGCCATAGTTCCAATGTCATAATAGTGCTATAAAGTTTTACGTAAATTATAATGAAGTTTAACAATTCTTACCCAGTGCAACAACATTTGTTTTTGACTGAAGGCGAGAAATGGTTTGTCTCCGTTTCTCCTCCCAAAACTTTTCTATGGTGTCGACACAGTATGCATATTGTATTTTATAAAAAGCATTCATGCCAACCATGCCCATGTTCATAAACTTGAACAGCAAGGCCACCTTTGCGTAGTTGTTTCCGGAAAGGAGTATATTTGTTGAAAGGGAAAAGTCTCCAAAATGTACTCCATGTTTCAATTTAGGCTGGGAACACCAAGTCCAAACAATATGTCCAAAGGGACATCTCTGGAAAAACAATTAACATATTATAATATTTAATAAAATACACATTCTTATAATTTTGATTACTCACCCATGTAATGGTAGCGGCAGTGCCTACTGCTGTTAATGTCGTTTGAAATGGTCCTTTTAAAGCTGCACTAACTGACTTTATTTTTGTATTCATTACGAAAATGCTATCCATGTCCATGTAGTGCATTGGGATATACGTCATTTTGAAGAAAAAGTAGTGCAGATTTGTGCTGGCGTGACATTATATTTTAGATCGAGTTTTGATGAAACAAGGAAGAGAATGTGTTTCGGGTCGCAGATTGTGACCAATAGCAGCGCACCACTGGCCCCCACTTTCGTGAGAAATCTACAGGTCTCCGTTAGCATAGACGGCTGAGTTAGCACAACAAGCCGAGGAGCTAACCTGAAACTTCGTGTGTCTTCGTCACCGGTTACTGCTTACACAGCGACACAGCCATCCAAAAGAAAGTCTCGTTCCTCCACGCTTCCCGGTTCTATCGTTCTATGGTCACGCCACCCACGTGCAAATCCATATCCGTGTATTATCCATATCGGGAGACACTAGCTCCGTCCCAACAGTGGGTGTGTGTGGGGGGCGACAGCTTCGTGGGTGCGGGGAGGGGAGGAGAAAGAGAGGCCAGCGAGTCCGCGGCTTCAAAATCCCAAAGTCAGTTAGTGCAGCTTTAAGTCTCTTCCATGGATATTTCGGCGTATTGGTTGAGATTGGTTGAGGGGCGACAGTAGCTCAGTTGGTAGAGCATTGGCCTTTGGGCCTGAAGGTCGTGGGTTCGAGCCCACCATAAGACCTACTTCACGACTTCCACTGATGACTGCTGTCGTTGTGTCCTTGGGCAAGACACTTAACCCCACTTTGCCTGAAGCCCCCACTGAAAGATCTCAGCTCCTGTGGACTCACCACCTGCAGGAGGATCAGTGAGGGGCTGGTGCTCTGTGACTGGGTGCAGCTCTGACTGCCACCCCCCCGACCCAGAAATGGATTAAGGGGAAGAAAATGGATGGATGGATGGATGGTTGAGATCAATTTGGGTTTTTAATGCACCGCCGCTTCTGTAATTAGTCCAAAAAATAAGAATATTATGAATAATGTGATTATTCTACTCACAATTGAATATAGACAGTACATACCGTATACAAATTGGAGGACAATAGTCACTGTCGCTGTCACTGTCTCCTTCTCTGTATTCACTGTCTAAAGAGAAATCTTCCAACCAGTCAATGCTGAAAAGATAAGTAGAGTTAGAGCAGAAATTGTCACTTGAGTGAAATACTAAAAGATCAGAAATAGCTTACGACGCATTTTGAATGTCATTGAAACCTTCACAATCAATCTCTTGTGGGTTTAGATCAGGGGTGCCCAAAGTCTGGCGGGCCAAAGTTGGCCCGCCAGACCATTTCAGTTGGCCCGCCAAACATTGCCCACCTCCGCTATAAGTTTCTATCTGCGTCCCTCAGCCTCGCTGAATTAACAGTGACATGTTTGAGGTCACGCGGGCGCATAGTCGCCCTCTGAATGCAGACTGTCCAGTACTTAAGTGTTGTATCGAGATACACTCCTCACTCATGGTTCACATCAACTTGCACTAAAATGTTTTTTAAAATCAAACACATCTTTCAAAACAATTGGGTGCAAGGCCCCTTTATGTTCTTTTTTTTCAGCCTACTATTATTATTTTTTGGAGCTATTTAATGTTTTATCAAATTGAGAGGATTGTGCTGCCGAACTGCCACTCCCCCTCCTCACCGGAGGGAAATGGCGAGTGGAACTATTCACCTGCGCAATCCGCACCCACCCGGTGTGTTAAAAAGGACGGACACAAACACTTCAGAGTGAGTTCAAGCAGGACAAGCAGGGATCGCAGCGCACGATCCAAGCAAGTAGAAGCAACAAATACTGTGCAAAACAAACCCTTCTACAACCCCATGAAAGAAGCCGGTAAGCGCCGTCCTCACTCGCGATCATTGAATGTCAGAACTTACGCTGAGTTTTATGATGCGTTCAAGAGCCCTTTGGAGGAGCGGAAACTCGGACTCTTTAACAGTTACTTTGTTTTGATTGTTTATAAATGTTATACTGTGTTTAGGCAAAACAAAACAAAACTCCAGGAACAAATCATGGTTAACTAGTCTGATTTTGTTAGTTTAATATTCAGTTCACTACTAATTGAGAATACTTGTCCTATGTTAAAACAGAGTTAAAACCTGATCATGTTTAGAAAATGCAGTTAGCAATTATGTTCCCAAATTCATTACTTAATGTTAAAATGTATTGTTTAAAAGTGTGTTAAAACCAGATCTATTGATCAGTGATGTCTCCCCTTTTTGATAAAAGCTAAGATAAAGTAATATGATTCAAATGTAGTTAAAAACTTTTGTTCAAAATAAATATATGAAAATAGACTTGGAAATTGCTTTGGCTCAGTGCAACAGAGATAATAAAAATAAAGAATAAAAAACACTTCTAAGAATAAGTTTAGTTGACATGAGCAGGTTAAAAATATTAGATTATTTAATTGAGGAGTATGATATTATTTAATTATCAAATTAGTACTTTTCATTTACTAGCAGGGCACATTATTTGATTTACAAGTAGAAACGTAGTAAAAACACAGGTTTATTTACATAGAACTGTATGTTTCTGTTCTCTTGTTGAAGGTTTTTTATATGATTTAACCTTTAAACAAAAAAAAAATAAGCATGACAGAACATCTCCCCTCCTCTGGGACCCTGATTACGCGGGCCGGAATCATTGTTACAGTAGTTCCTCAAATCCGCCTATTTCCCTGGAGTATCCACTTTCACTAAGACTGTGTGATTTCCATTCATTCAGGCTGTGATTCTGATAGACAATAATTAATGCCATTTTAAGGGAACTTGATCAAAATCTAATTTATTTGTGTTTCCTGCCGTAATATCGGTGATATTTGGCCCGCGGCCCGACTGGCAAAGTTGTTACTTGGCCCTTGGAAGCAAAAGGTTTGGGCAAAAGGTTTGGGCACCCCTGCTTGTCAGATGGGTAGGTTGGTTTAAATTTTGGACAAATAGGCAAATCATTACCATAAAATGTTTGGCGCATTAGCTTCATCCTCCACAGTCCTCATCATTTCCCAATGTCACTTATTAGCACTTGTATTAAACAGCGGGATGCCGTTGTATTTGAGAGATGTATGAGCGTTTAATCTCTGCTGCGACGGCTTGGCTAAAACTAGAAATGATTTTTAAAACCCTGAGCATGTAAATATGCTTTTATTTGAGAGCTGGCAGCCTGACGCACACACAAACAATGGTTTTCAGTTTATACTGTTCACATAAACCGGAGGGGACTCTGATAATGTTAAATGGATGTCTTATGGATGCGAATAGATCATCGGCTTCAGATGAGTTCACGGTTTTACACACCAATTACAATGTAAATTATTACTTGTCCCTTTTCTCCTTTTCTTAATTTCTTCATATAGTCCAAGGACCAACGAAAACTAGTAAATCCACAAACATATGGAACTTAATACACTGTCTTTTCAATTTGCACTAATCTATTAAACCTTCCATCCATCATCCATTTCTCTCCCTTTAATCCATTTCTGGGGCAGGGGGTGGCAATCAGAGAGCCACCCAAGTCTCATAGCATACAGCCCCTCCCTGACCCTCTGCAGGTGCGGTGTGTCCACCCCCAGTGAGACGGCTGGCTCTTGAGTGTTTGAGCATAGCCTTGATCTTTCCAGTGGGGGCTTTGGGGCAAAATCAAAACCTGGCTTCTCATTTGGCTTCTGGTGAGATTTCTGGATGAGTATCCTGATTCTGTTTTGGATTCTGGTGGACTTTAATTCACTTCTTATGGATTTTTTGGTGTATTTTGGTTCTCAGTGGCCACAGAAGGGGGAGTTCATTTCCAATGTTTATATCTAGTCTATTCTAACCTTTAAAATCACTCTTGAAGAAAGCAATGTATTTTTTTTCTTTTTGGATATGTGGGACAATAAATAAAAACACAAATATATATGTTTTTTAACCGTATTGTTTAAATATAGGGCAACACAAATGGTGCAATGTAAGTTTGACTGTAAAGTGCTAAAAAACCAATTGAGAAGCCCCCAAAAAGGTAGTTTTCAGTTTCAAGCAGAGTATTGACTCAAAAGGTGTGATCTACCGAATGGGTGAGAAAATGATGCGTACATCACTACAGAATACCAGGAGTGCAAAGTCTATCATTTCTGATGACTTGATTGTTTACATCTAGTTTCCATTTAAAAGCCAACAAGAATACCTACAATGAAACTGTGGGCTGTATATTTGTTACCTCCACCGCATGGGACTCTGAGTTCCAGTGCTGGGGTCTTGTGCTCCCAGAAGGCTGTAATGGCCGTGATAATAAGTACCAATTAGCTCTATGTATGGTAATTGGCTGGTGCTTTCTCCATTCCTCATGCTCTTTTCCCATAATGAAGGTCTCGTTTTGGCAGACAGATCATTGCCGCCGCGGCCTGGGAGCAGGTAACCAATATGGGCTCATTAGGTCTTAGAAACAGAAAGAAAGATAGTTCATCAGCCTTTTTTTTTCCAAAGGAAACAATTTATAGACGGGAGGAAAACATATTTTGTGACGTTGATTTATGGCATCAGGGAAATTGGCCGGTTTTCTGTTGCGACTGTCCAGGCTGTTTCAGGAGAGCGCCTCATGCTGTATGGCATCCATTTCAACGATTAT